TTTGCTTGGTTTTTTCCCTCTCCCAGAGCGAGAGATCGCTTAAACAAGCAAGTGGGGGGAGGGGATGGGAAACCATGCAATTCCTTCACATAATCCCTCTTGTGCCTCACCTGTTTTTTTTTTCTCCCCCCTACACACACTTCCCATAGAGCAGGGGTTCTCAACCTTGGCAAGTTTAAGACTTATGGACTTCAACTCCCAGAAAAAGTTGGCTGAGGAATTCTGGGAATTGAAGTCCACAAGTCTTAAAGTTGCCAAGGGTGAGAACCCCTGCCATAGAGCTTATATATTGGAGATGAAGAGATTACAAGAAAGTAAGCAGGCTTCTAATGGAGAATATACCAGGCTGTCAGCAAAGTGCACCCATGGCTCCCAACTCTCGTTCCTTTCCATGTGCATTCCCCATTAGGTTCCTACTTTCTCTCTTATAACCCCTTCCTCTCCAATGAATATAAATAAAAAATTAATTCTCTTCTTGCTAATTAACTCAGAACTGGGGTGAGCATTCCAAATGGCAAGGGAGTAGGGAAAATGAAAGCACAGCTGAGGTCATGTGATTTCTCACTTAGTGATTGCTTCACTTAACAACAGAACTGCCAGTCCCAATTGTGGTTGCTAAATGAGGACTATTCAGTAATACATTTGTCCCAATATAAGGCAGTGTATTTAGAACTAATGTGCTATGGATTTGGTTTTATGGTATGTATAAAACCATAACTTTTTTTAAGAACTTCAGTCTATGAGTTGTGTATCAAATAAATCTTGGCTCAATTTTGGTGGAGGTCAGTATCTAATCCACTGGCTGAAACACTGGCTAAAACTATATATCTTAGTGTGTTTCTTTTGGCTGATTTAAACTTTTCTGATTGGTTGCTTCTCCCTGGAATAAATTTGATTGACTGTGGCCCCTCTGTCCAATACCTGAGTGTGAGAAAGAGGTTAAGCAGAGTCCTGGAGTGAGGGATTTAAAATTTCTTACTACTGTAATAAGAATCTGCCTAACAGACTATTCTTTGTAACTCTCTCTCCAGCTTTCTTTCTGTTGCACATATTTGTAGTGTGTATATGTAGAAACCTCTCCCTTCATATGTATTTTTGTGAGCAATGCACATAAATGCATTTTATATTTTACTCCATGAATTTTCAACAAGGGTTTTTCCCCCCTTAACACAATGCTTTTATGCATATATTTCCTAATATATAATTTTATGCTATTTTTTTCTTACTAAACTTATTTGATACCCATTTTTCAATCGGTGAGCTGCATTACTAATTTTGAAAGCATAGGTTTCAGCATGTTAGCCTGCTGTGCTATGTTTTTCATGGAAGTTTAGGAAGTATAAATATAATAAATTCTTATTCAGGTTAAAAAAAATTCTCACGCACTTCTCCGTTCCGCAGTTCTATGAAATATTGTATTATACTTGTTCTTTTGTTATAAGAACTTCAGGATTATGATTTATAAATACATTATTATTCTGTCCTTTTTTCAAGGATCGCAAGATGGCATACATCCTTTCCATACCCCTGCCATATATTCAGACACTGTTCCCTTAGATAACAGTCTCTGATGTTATCTGCTCCTGAGTGTGTAACTTAATCCAAGGTCAACAAATGATCTTCACATCAATGAAGATTTAAATTGAATTTGCCTGATCACAATGTAACACTTATACTGAGGACTGATAAGATGCTGTTCTCAACATGACATATGTTTTTATTTATTTCTGTTATATAAGTATGTAATTCTCTCTACTGACTAGCCTACCTATTTATTATAATTGGGTATTCATTGCCATAGGAGAGGTATTTTGATTCAGATGTACTGAGATAGCAACACTGACATGGGATTACTCACTTAAGGGGGGAAAAAAGTGAAAAGAAGAACCAGCATGAACACCAGCACAAAGTATTTCCAGAAGCTCTGCAGGCAGTACATAGGCTGATCAATATTTTCTTTCTTTATTGTATTTATTCCACTATAATATGAAGCATCCACCCTTGTCTTCCCTGCCCAATAATCATAATCATAAGCAATTTATTAGCATTCCCAATACTGTCTCTTGTTTTCTATAATTAAGTAGCCTGGGGATTGCAATACCACAATATACAATAAAGACAAATACTGATACTGTTATTCAGTTATTTCCTTTTCCTGCAGAGGCACAGACAAGTCTGCCAATCATCTCTCTCTCTCTCTTTCTCTTAAGTCAAGAAGTAACATGAACAACATAGGTCAGGGGTTTTTATCTTAAAAGTTAAATTTACATAATTAGGCGGCCCTGTTTGTATCTGGCATACTGGTAGTCCTCAACTTATGATCACAGCTGAGCCCTAAATTTCTCTTCCTAAGAGAGAAGTGAATTTTGCCCCCTTTTACAACCTTTCTTGCCACAGTTATTAAGTGAATCACTGCAGTTGTTAAGTTAGTAACACGATTCTTAAGTGAATCTGACTTCCCCATTGACTTTGCTGGTCAGAAAGTCACAAAAGGAGATCACATGACCCCGGGACACAGCAACCATCATAACTAAGGACAAATTGTCAAGCATCCAAATTGATTATGTGACCATGGGGATACTGCAATGGTTATAAGTGTGAAAAATGGACATGAGTCACTTTTTCAGTGCCGTTGTAACTTCAAACGGTGACTAAATGAACTATTGTAAGTCAAGGACTACCTGTAATATGTAACAGCCTCCTGTGGGTCAGCCAATATACCCCAGACGAGTGGCCAAACTGAATCATAGTTTTAGAAGATGAAAGCCCTCTGTAATTGAACTGCATGTACATATTCCATATTTCATTCACCCACACTGAATTCCATCCCTACCTCTGTGACCTAGAGCAGGGGTCCCCAATCCCCAGGCCTTAGTCCACTACTGGGCTGTGGCCTGTTCGGAACCGGGCCATGCAGTCGGTTGGTGAGTGCACGTGTAAAGCTACTCTCATGTGAGCGGCAGCCACTTGCGCTCGCACACGAAGCTCCCTTCGTGCGAGCAGTAGGCACGTGTAACTGCCCCTCGCACAAGTGGGAATTGCACGGGCTCACGTGTGCCCATCTGCCACTCACAGGAAACTATTCTCTCTTCCCCCCTTGCCGGGCCACCAAGCCAGAAGGTTGGGGACTGCTGGTCTATGGGATGTTTCTTCTTTGTCCTATCTATGATGTTTTGCCAAACCATCTGATGCCACTTAGCTTTTAATCATGTTTAAAGAAATTCAGAGGTACATCTTTCTGACCTATAACTCTAAGGTTTAATCAAAAGGTGAGCAACCTCTTTGCTACAAAAACAAACAATTACTATGGAGCAGTGGTTCTCAACCTGTGGGTCGGGACCCCATTTGGGGTCGAACAACCATTTCACAGGGGTCACCAAACAACGCAGTCCACCATTTTTTTCCCTTTTCCTTAGCTTTGCTACTCCCTTTTATTCTATTGGCTTTTGAAAGCCAATAGAATAGACTCTCTTGAATAGAGTCTAATGCTATTGGTTTTCAAAAGCCAATAGGAATTGTCCAGGCTGTCTCTGCCCTGCTGAGCTCACCAAAAGTCCCATTCTGCAAACGGTGCTGCACCAGTTGAGTAGTCCTCGACTTACGACCGGTTGAGTAGTCCTTGACTTACGACCGGTTGGGGGTCGCGGAATTAAAAAGGTTGAGAACCACTGCTATGGAGGGTCGCAGGTGGCATAAAATACTCAAATAAAACAACTTTAGTGAAGATGGAAAGGCTCAAGTACTATGGCATTTAAAAAATAATGATCACTGCTAAAGGAGAAAAAAAAAGAATGATCTAGGAGATCAAATAATTATTTTGCCTCAAGATGCATTTTGACATATTAAAGTATGGAAATGAAAAAAAAGTTACATCATCTTTTGCCTGAATCGGAAACCACTTATGAACAGATTTAATGCCTGTAAATTGCAGAGTCATGCCTCACAGAAGTCTAGAAAAACCTGAAGAACTACATAAAAGTTAAGGAATTAAATTACTTATTGAACAAACAACAGTAACAGTTTGCTGTTGTTTTTAACAAATACTTTACAAATCTGTTCAGATATGATACAATGAACCACATCAAATAATCCATCCAGTATTATTTACCCTGATGGGAAACAGGACAATTGCCCTGTTTTGGTAACTGAAGCATTAATCTCCATGACACTCATGACAGAATACTTAGTTAAACAACTGTATTATTCATCACTTAGATAAGGATGATGCCCATAGTTCTTACAAAAACACCATTGCCTCTAAGTGCCACAAAGAGTGGGGCATTGATGCAGTGACAAAATGGGAATAGGCAGAACCGACATGTTCAACCCACTTTTTTGGAGAGGAATCATGAAGATTTTTGAATTTAAATAAAGTATGGGTTCTAAGCCTACTGAAGATTTAGTGCACTCCTTTTGCTTTTTGGTTGAATAAATAACCCACCAGAAATCACACTGGTGAATTAGGAGTGGCTCCGAACAACACAAAAATGAGGCTAGACACAGAAGAGAGCATCCACAGGAGGAGGGCTTTGATCACAGAGTTCATTTTTTATGTCCCCCTGTGGACATCTCTCACACCATATAGTCTAAAGCAGGGGACTTCAAACTTGGGCCCTTTTATGACTTGTGAACTTCAACTCCCAGAATTTCTCAGCCAGCATGCCTGGCTAAGGAATTCTGGGAGTTGAAGTCCACAAGTCATAAAAGGGCCCAAGTTTGAAGACACCTGGTCTAAAGACTGCAGATTATTCCTCCCTGATTTAGAAAATGAATTTACAATGTTTGGATTCAAACTGTTGCCACATGTACTTAACCAAGGAGCTTGCTGACTGTGTGATGCCCGTGGACCTATTCCTCAATATGTATATGATTTTTGTTTCTTTGGTTTTCCCTGATTAATTTTTCATTTTGATAAAATGGAGAAAAAGATTTGGCTACAACTTTGTCATTGCCCTTTGATTTCAGGTTAATAGTCAAGAAGAAAAAAGGCTGCATCTTACCTTTTCTGCATCTTGTTCAAAAAGTCGAAGTTGAAAGCACTGATCTAGTTTCAGTTTACGGACATGCCACATCTGATGCAAGTGCTGTCGTGTTGAATGCAGCTTATCTAAAAGACTGGTAATCTTTGGCACAAGACTTTGGAAATCTGCACTGCCAGGAATGCAGTTCCTACCAGAGAAACCATCACTGCATCTTATGCATTGTAATAATCGTTGACCTTCACGGTCCAATTCTTCCACTGGAGCTTTGATTACTTTCTTCTTGAGCTGGGTATGTTCGTCTATTAGTCTTCTTGAACCCTCCACATCCACTGGAAATTCCTTCCTAGCCAGCATTTCCTGAAGGTCCTCCAGCCTGGATAATAAATGGATGGCACTATTGAAAAATTCTTCCAAGGAAACTCTCAACTCTATCCATTCATCATGATTGTAATCCAGAGTTCCTTCAAACTCTTCTGTTAGTTGGGAGGGATCAACCAGTTTTGTTAAACCTTCAACGGAGACCATGCTTGTCTAAGGAGTTAAAAAAAAGTGTGGTTTAGTTTTTAAGTAATTATACAGAAATCCTGTAACAATTAAGGATACCATTAACTATTCATCAGACAGCATAAATGGAGAAGCAGTAAGCAGGAAAAATGCTTAACAGCCAGATAAGAATACATCCTAGTGCAATATGGCTGTGAATTGTCTTTGTCTTGGCTCTCACAACCACAGGGGAAAAGAAATGGACATTGTGAGAAAGAGAACTCATGACGATTGTGGTGGCATCATCAGTGTTACTAGAAATCAGCAAGAAATGAAGCATTTCCTCTGTCCTGCATAAACTCCTTTGGGACAGATCCTATGTCCACAACTAATATTATGAAAGTACATTTCACCTCTCCTTCAACATACACATTCAGGATACCTTCACACAATGGGTGATAATTTGGAAAACTGCATAATTTGCCCACTTTTAAGTTTTCACACAATACAGCCCTTTTAGCAAAATTCACACACTAGGTACTACTTGTTATGAAAGCTGTGTGTGAATGTGTGTGTGTGTGTGTGTGTTTGTGTGTGTGTGTGTATGTGTGTGTATTTACAGCAGGATTGTTCAACCTGAAGGCTTAAAACTTCATGTAGCCACCTAAACTTTGGATACAGCCCAAAGAGTCTCTCCAAAGATTGTCACCAATTGTAATTTTAATTGACAGAAGGGAAAATGATTGCTATATGTGCAATAACACATTCATTGTGCTTAATTAAATACTGTAAATTAATTTAAGTCCCCACCCCATATATAGACACTTTTCAAAATACAGCCCTCAGCATGCCACTTAAAGCAAACAATGGTTCTTGTCCTCCAAAAATGATGTTTTAGAGCAGACATGTCCAACTTGTGACATCACGTGATGTTGCGCAATGTATCTGGACGGTTTTGCCATTGCCGGCAATGGGGTGGGCGCGGCTTCTGGATGACACATCCAGCCCGTGGGCCGGCAGTTTGATAGCCCTGTTTTAGAGGATTATATTTAGAGATTATTCATCCCCTTTTCAGTCAAACTGTTTTAGCTTGGAGAAGTATTAAGACTGCTCTGGCTGTCTTGGAGGACGACTCATGCTGCAGAGTAAATGCAACTTAGGACTCCTGTTTTACAGTTCTTACTGTCATGCTGTGTCCAGAAAGTATCCTTGTTTCCTACAAGATTGCACTTTTGCCATCCATGCTGTTTAATATCTACAGTATATGAAACTGAAATTGGGGGAAATCATTAAAAACTTTGACCCTCCCAATCATATTGCACCTTATTGTCCAACTTCGAAGGGCAATCACTGTCTTGAACATTGCTTATATTTGACAAAGTCCTGGTTGAGGAAGAATGCACTGAGATTAAATCTAGACCAAAACAATTAGTTTTTTATAAATAAGAAATTAGACTTTGAGATGGACATTTAGACTGTTTTGATTAGTTTGCAAAGTTTGAAAGGAATGGTTTGCAGTTTAAAAATACTCCTTCACCCTCATTGGTCATTGAATTTATGATGGCTGTGACATGGTGCACATTGATGCAGTTAGGACTGCTATATCGATTACAGTATTACATCATCCATTTTTGAGATGGTCAGATTTGGCAACAGTTATGCATGCCTTGATTATATTTTATCTTGAACTTTGCAGTGCACTCTACACAGTGTGATCTATGCTGGGCTACCCTTGAAGAGTTTGCAGAAATTGGAACTAATACAAAATGTGTCAGCTAGAATGCTATACAGAATAAAATATAGGAATTATATGATGCCTCCACTGAAAAAATTGCACTTACAGCCAGTGATTTAGTGGGTACAATTTAGGGTGCTACTATATCATCCCTTAAGGCCTTGAAGAGTTTAGGATTTCACAATATCAGGAACCATCTGTTTTATACAGTTCCATCCAACTTTTAAAATTTACACAAGAGGTCTTTTTAAATGTGACCCCATTTTTGGAGATCTGTCTTTCTGGCACTTATTTATTTACTTAAAACACTTAATAACTATCCACCTTCTAACAAACTCTGGGCAAATCCCAATCAAAACTTAAAATGACATAAAAACCATTCTAAAACTATTAAAACCAAATACATAAACATTTTGAAATAAGACCTTCTCCTGTATTTCTTCCAAACGTGGGAATATATTATCTGAGTTTATGTGACTCCACCTCTAAGTTTTGAAATTCTGTAAGATCCAAAACTTTAACAAAATTCTCAATATTTTGGTAATGTTATATTTGTTAGAGCAGGAAGGTTGGATGGTATTATTATTGTTATTATTTCTTCAAATAATATTATAGATTTTATTGTGAAAATTACCTTGAGATTGAAAAATATGATTGGTCAAGATATCCCACTGTGCTGGAATCTGAAGACAAAATTTCCAAATTCAGTACCAATATTATAGTTAGCATCATGCTGGGATTTTGTGAAAAGGATGCTGTATTAATGGGCTGCTTTTCAAGTACTACCTTTCGCTATTAATTTTGAAGAGTACATAATAATAATAATAATAATAATAATAATAATAATAATAATAATGATGATGATGATGATGATGATGTTTGAAGGGACCTTGGAGGTCATTTAGTCCAACCCCCTCCTTAGGCAGGAAACCCTATACCATTTCAGGCAAATGGCTGTCCAGTCTTTTCTTAAAAACTTCCAGTGTTGGAGCATTCACAGCTTCTGGAGGCAGGTTGTTCCACTGATTAATTGTTTTAACTGTCAGAAAATTTCTCCTTAGTTCTAGGTTGCTTCTCTCTTTGGTTAGTTTCCATCCGTTGCTTCTTGTCCTGCCTTCAGGTGCTTTGGAGAATAGGTTGACTCCCTCTTCTTTGTGGCAGACCCTGAGGTATTGGAACACTGCTATCATGTCACCACTCGTCCTTCTCTTCATTAAACTAGATATACCCAATTCCAGCAACTGTTCCTTATATGTTTTATACTCCAGTCCCCTGATCATCTTTGTTGCTCTTGTCTGTACTCTTTCTAGAGTCTCAACATCTTTTTTACATCGTGGTGACCAAAACTGGATGCAGTATTCCAAGTGTGGCCTTACCAAGGCATTGTAAAGTGGTATTAACACTTCACGTGATCTTGATTCTATCCCTCTATTAATACAGCCTAGCACTGTGTTGGCTTTTTTGGTAGCTGGAACACACTGCTGGCTCATATTTAAGTGATTGTCCACTAGGACTCCAAGATCCCTCTCACAGTTGTTACTATTGAGCAAGGTATCACTTATATTATACCTGTGCATATGGTTTTTCTTCCTAAATGTAGAACCTTACTTTTTTCACCATTGAATTTCATTTTGTTAGATAACACCCAATGTTCAAGTCTCTCAAAATTCTTCTGTATCTTAAGCCTATCTTCTGGAGTGTTGGCTATTCCTGTCAGTTTGGTGCCATCTGCAAATTTGATGTTCCCCATCTATCTCCTCATCCAAATCATTAATGAAGATGTTGAAAAGCACTGGGCCCAGAACAGAGCTCTACACTCTTCCCTCCATGTAGATGCAGTTCCATTGAGGACCACATGCTGAATACAGCCGGTCAGCTAGCTACGAATCTATCTTATCAAGTAGTAGGTTGTGGTCTACTTTATCAAATGCCTTAATGAAGTCCAAGTAAATTATATCCACAGATTCTTCTGGTCCATTAATTTTGTCACCTGGTCAAAGAATGCAATAAGATTTGTCTGGCTTGATCAGTTTTTGACAAAGTCATGTTGGCTTTTGGTAAAGACTTTTTTTTTGCCTCTAAGTGTTTGCTGATTCATTGCTTGATTATCTTTTCCAAGATCTTCCCAGGTATTGAGATCAGGCTGATAGGTCTGGATCCATTTTTTTTTCCTTTTTTGAAGATGAGAACTACTTCAGCTCTTTTCCAGTCCTTTGGTAGTTCCCCCGTGCTCCAGGATCTTTGAAAGATAGAGTTCAGTGGTTCTGAAATCACATCTGCCAGTTCATTCAGAACCTTGGGGTGTAGTCCATCTGGTCCTGGTGATTTGAACTAGGGTGGACAGGTGCTCACTTACCACTTTCTTGCCTATCTTAACTTGTGTTTCTAATCTGTTTTTTATGGTACTGTTTTTGATAGGTTGGACTGTTTTTTCCCTTTGTGTAAAGACGGATGCAAAAATTGAGTTGAGTAGTTCTGCTTTGTCCCTGTTGCTTGTCACCTTCTTGCCACTTTCTCCCATTAATGGACCAATCATGTCCTTAACTTTTTTCTTGTTTTTTACATGTTGAAAGAAGCTTTTTTTATTGTTATTTTTAACTTTTGTTGCAAGCCTTAGTTCATTTTGAGCCTTAGCTTTCCTCACTTCATTTTTGCAGGCTCGGGCTATTTGCTGGTATTCTACCTTAGTTATGTGCCCCTCTTTCTACTTTTTATACTTGTCCTTTTTGTCTTTCAATTTATCAGAGAGTTCTTTATGGAGCCATGCTGGTTTCTTTTGAGAGCTGTTATTTTTCTCCTTCATTGGTATTGTGCTAGACTGGGCTTTTATAATCTCACTTTTCAAAATTTCCCAAGCTTCTTGAGTTGTTTTCTCCTTGAGGATTCTTATCCATGGAATCCTTCCCAAGCTCTCTCTAAGTTTGTTGAAATTAGCTCTCTTAAAGTCCAAGACTCTAGTTTGACTGTGTTCGATTGCTTGTGCATAATGTTGAATTCCAATATTGCATGGTCATTCCCCCCCCTAAGGTTCCTGAGATAGGCTTTATTACAAATTCATTACATGTGGCTTTAAAACTTAATTTTTATGCAATTACATTTTTCTAGAACACAGTTTCTTGAATTCTTGGCACTGTTGAAATAAAACTCCCTGTCCAAAACAAGGACAAGGGAAATGCTTTGGCAACATATAATTTAAATTGAGCCATGGCAGCGCAGTGGTTAGAATGAAGTATTGCAGGCAGACTCACAGCCAGGAGTTCAATACTGACCAGCTCAAGCATTCCATCCTTCCAAGGTCAGTAAAATAAGGACCTAGATTGTTGGAGGTATTGTGTTGACCCTGTAAACTACTTAGAAAGTGCTCTAAATCACTATGAAGTGGTATATAAGTCTACTGCTTAGTGCTATTGCTAAATTGGAGTTCATAGCTTCTAATACAATGAATATAACTCTTCCCTTTGACCCTTAAGTCTTCTGTTACAAATACTCTCCTAGTTGAATAAATGTTATAACACTGAAAGCTTCCAACTTGAAATAGATGTTTATTATACAGACGTCAGGCATATGATTGCCAAAATACACTGCTCATTATTCTTCTCCCACTGGAATCTTCTTCTTGAGTAGGGAGTGCATTGCATTGTCTATAGCCCATTGTCCATAGCTCTGCATGCATCCAGTTCTTTCTTTGTTGGAATACTTTTTTAAATTAGTTTACCTTGAAACATCTGCTAGGTACCTTCTCTAGTAGAGATATTAGATTGTTTTTTCTTTTCCCTTCACTGAGATCATTTTATTTTCCAGATCTTTCAAATTCTTTTTGATTTTCTTACCAAAAATTCTTATTGTTTGTATTTTTTAGCTTAGGTGGTATATAACTGATGATTTTATCCAGACTGTACAAAGCTTTGATAGGATGTTTCACTTCAACAATGCCTTAAGCAAAGATTTTTCAAAGTTGCTTCTTGAAGCAATGCAATCCCTTAGGTCTAAAGAGTGAAATGTCAACCAATTTTGAAATTGTAGCCCTATGATTATATTTTTTCATATCCTACTGGGGACATAAACAACACCACACAAATACACTTTCTGCTTCATTGGAAAAATCAGCAGTTATTCATTTATTTATTTAAATCTATTGGCTGACCAATTCCAATGGACTTTGGACAGCATACAAAACTAGGAAAAAAAGTCAATGAACACAACTAAAGAGTTATTTAAGATGTATTTCTGCATTGTTTTTACAAATATTGAGTCAGTAGATGGCACAGTACTGTATTTCAAAAATGCACCATAAGCAGAGTGTGTTAATTTAAACAGTAATTCTTTACATTTAAATTCTAATTAAATTTAGGATAGGGCATGTCAATGTGGGCAGAAAATTTCTCACTTGGTTTTTAAATCTGTTTAAAATATTCTTCTCCTGCCATAACTGGTCTTTTTAACATGAAGATAGGAAAGGAGGCCTCTTTGTTTAAAGCATTCTGCAGATACATTTATTATTCAGTTAGACTCTCCCTGGAGAATTTGAGATGAATAGGAATACATTATCAAACTTCATCAGGAAGGAAGAAAAGATGTGCAAGGACAAGGTAATATCCTATCAGCTGTCATATTTCTTTCCAGTTCAAATGCAACCAATCAAAATACAGCCTGCTCATTCAAGTCTTTTCAGAAGCAAAGAAAAGTAATTTGTAAAAAGCCTGAATTAATGACAAAGAAGCTTGTTGGGTCATCTCCAGTGTTAACTGGAAGCTCCAGAAATCTGCATTTGTCAGTCACCTGTCAACCCTGCTCTTTTTTTTTTTGCTTACCAACAACTTGTGACTGACAGGCCCTGAAGGGAAAATAGGAGCATAAACCTGGCTATTACTGGGGTTCTTCAAGACAGAAGATTTTTTTTCTGCAGAAGTAGCTGTCAGAGTAACATACTTTCTGTTTATAATCCTTCCTCTTTGCCTAAGGGCAGTATCTTTCTTTCAAGTTGACATTGGCAGGTATCAGTGGACTTTTCAATGACTTGTATCTGCTAAATTGTATAGCTTGAATTTCAACCAACTGCCATTAAAGATCTATGCCTATATATATTGCTCAGTCTGCAAAACAGTTAAGCTGCAACATGCAAGCATATTGTTATGGATAGGATGTTCATTTGGGCATATGCAACTATTTATATTATTTTCGTTTGGAATGAGAAAAAAGTATACAACTACAACTATCAACAACTTATCATTTGAGGTTTTTTTTCCAAAAAAAAAAATATGGATCCATGTTCCGTTCATTACACAGATGTTGATCAAATCAATGTTTGATTAGTAATCTAAAATAACAGACAGTGCTAGATTTTATCATGGTTCTTAATTAATGAATCTTCTCCATCTTACCTCAAAGATAAATTTTGAACTTCCAAAATTTGTCTTCTGCTTTTGCCAAAAGTTATCAGGCTTGATTATCAGGGCAACATGAATTTCTGCAGGAAAGGCCTCCTGAAGAGTCTTCAGGAGAGGTTTGATCAGATCCCACTTAGAGCCTCTCATATCAATGATGACCGTGAAACCACGTTTGCAGACATCTTCACTGTAGGGATTAAACATTGAATAAATTAATTCCAGAGTAGGTTTTAGAAATATGAAGTAGCAGTTAAATAGACATTTTATTTCTTCTGACCTGATTCCTATATTCACAGATTCCAGATCGATAACCATTGTTTGGTTCCTAAATATGCTCTATTGCAATATTAAAGCATTAAGTGGATAACTTGCGCATTTGCTCAATTGCTTGTACATTAATTTACCTTTAGATAAACCACATGATATAATTCATTGTGATTCACTATACAAGAGAGATTAAGTACTAGTTTCCTCAATATCATGAAGTGAATTTCTAAGTGTAAATGAATTTGATATTATGCATCGCTTCAAAAGATTTAGCGGACCTTGAAACAATATACTTGACATTCAGTGGACCAATATTCTAAGTCAAGTAGTTTTATTAGCTTAAAGATATCATCAGACTAATGACATACATTTCTGTCATTTGTGTAATGACATCATTAAGCTGATTATATGGTGGCATATTTTGCACTTCAAAAGACATTTGTAAATAACCCTCTCCCCTATTTAGACTATTAAAGTAACATATCTCTGAATTATCTACAATTTGTAAAACATACACAGTCAATCTTTATTATTCATGCATTCCATCTATGCAAATTCACTCTCTCGCTAAAATTTGTTTATATTTACTGAGAATTTTACACAAAGTAAAAGACTATCTAAAAAAGTAAAAGAAGGAAGTGCAAGAAAAGAAAAAAGGAACGAACTTAAAGTTATAAGCTGGTTGTCAAACATCCAAAATGCAATCATTGATTGGGGTGAGCTGGGGGGTGCCTGTCAGAACTTCAAAATCAAGGCATAAAGTACCTTTGAGGGGATCTGTTATAACTTTGAACAATTTCTAAGCAACCTACAACTAAGTAAGAACTATCTATATCAGAAGATAGGATATAAAATGTGTGACGCTTATACAGCAAAGTTCCAGTTCTACAGGAAGCTGTATCTTGTATTGCTTAGAGTCAAAACAACACAGACTTCTGTATGAATAACCCAGGACAGCACCAATATTATATTGATCAAAATTCTTACACATAAGAGTTGCAATGATATATAGCTCCAATACTGATATGATATATAGCTCCAATATTGCAATAGCACATATTTTAAAATTAAGATGCTGCATTCAGTTGCTGATGCCCAAATGGTGTAAGGGCAAAATGAAAGCTTAACTAACTATATTTATTTCTTTAGAAAAGTTTTAAACATGGAAGCACTGTAACCTGATCTGAAGATCTGTCATCTTCTCACAATAGTTATACCAACCATTGTATCTACTAATCTATAATTTTTATTTTCTAAATAAGTGGCAATTATCAGGAGGCTATTTTGCCAGTGGTAAATTACCCAGAATTAACTAATAGCATCCCACAAGTAGCTTCAGATGTTGCACACTAAAATTTGTCCAATAAGTTGTAGAAAAACTGTACAATTAACATGATGCCAGGCAGTTCAGATACAGCAGATGAAATACAGGGCTCGGGGGTTTTTCTAGGGGAATCCATTGCCCTAATTAAAGAATTTTAACGCAATACAAAATGGCCTTCCTGAAACTGAGAGAAGCAGAATGGAATTTTGGTAAAACAATTATTTAGGTTATGTGTAACAAAGCTTCTCAAATATTTTGAGCATACCTGCTGCTATATATTAAAATGAACCGTCCTTGGTGAAACCTGACATGACATTTCTCTACCTTTATTTCTTCCCTCCAAATTTAATTAACAACTACCTGAAGCCTCTAGATAATCATTAAATTTTCAGGTATTACAGGTCTGCAAATATTTCTTTTTAATTTAGCCTTTGAGGTGCAAGTTAAAAAAAAAAGAAAGTTTAAAAATGTTCTGACATAGAATATTAATCTAATAAAATGGAAATTGTATATTTTGGCAAAATGTTTCATCATCGGAGCAAGACTTTTGAATGAAAAAGAAGTATTTTGAGTTTGAAACATCTCAGAACAGAAACAGTTCTAGACAATGAGTTTTACTTTAACAGTATCTATTATTTATATGATGAATGTATATAAACATAAATAAATAAACATAAAAACCATTAAGCATACATGAATAAATGCAAACTTCAAATTGTCTTTCACAAAACACAATTTATGAAAGCTTTGACTTGAAATTTTCTTTTAAATTAATGCCGAAAACCAAGACTGGGTCAAGTAATCCCTCAAAGTTTTGAAATCTCTTCTTCTCAAGTAAAAAAATTTCCTTGGATTTTACCTAACTAAAAACATTGCTTCAACTTAAATTATTAACAGGAAAGTATTTATCAGTTCTTCACAGTGAGATAACTGTTGTGGGCTTCAACCAGGAAGTTCAGTTGTGGCACAGGATTTTTGTGGTTTTGGCTTTATTGTTCTCTCTTTTTTTATTCTTTGTATACATATATTGGTTTATTCTTTCGCTGTGACCCACCAAGGATTTGGTTTTAAAATGGACAGTCCTTTATTTATTTTACTATTTCATCTTTATTATTTTTATAAATTAGAATTAGAATTAGAGTAGATTTGTAAGGGACCTTGTAGATCATCTAGTCCAACCCTCGACCCAAGCAGGAGACCCTGCTCCATTTCTGACAGATGGCAGTCCAGTCTCTTCTTGAAAGCTTCCAGTGATGACACTCCTACAACATCTGGAGACAAACTGTTCCATTGGTTGATTGTTCTCACTGTCAGAAAATTTCTCCTTATTTCTAGGTTGAATCTCCCCTTGATCAGTTTCCATCCTTTCTTCCTTGTCTGGCCTTCAGGTGCTTTGGAAAATAGATTGACCCCGTCCTCTCTGACACAGCCACTCAAATATTGCTATCATGTCTCCCCTGGTCCTTCTCTTCACTAGACTTGCCATGCCCAGTTCCGTTCTTCATATGTTTTAGCCTCTAGGCCCCTAATCATCTTTGTTGCTCTTCTCTGCACTTTTTCTAGAGTCTCAACATCATTTTTATAGTGTGGAGACCAAAATTGGTTGCACTATTCTAGGTGTGATCTTACTAAAGCTTTATAGAGTGGTATAAGTACCTCATGTAATCTTGATTGAATCCCTCTGTTAATGCAATTTAGTATTGCATTGGCTTTTTTGGCTGCTGCTGCACACTGTTGGCTCATATTTAATTGATTGTCCACTAAGACTCCAAGATCCCTCTCACAGTTACTGCTATTAAGCGTGGTTTCAGCCTAACTATATGTATACTTTTGGTTTTTCTTGCCTAAGTGTAAGACTTTGCTTTTCTCTACATTGAATTTAATTTTGTTACATAGGGCCCAGTGTTCAAGTTTGTCAAGATCCATCTGGATCCTGAGTCTATCATCTAGGGTGTTGGCTATTCCTGCTAGCTTACCATCAACTGCAAATTTGATAAGTTCCCCTTCTATTCCTTCATCTAAGTCATTTATGAAGATGTTGAAGACTACTGGGCCTAGGACAGAACCTTGTGGTACCCCATTACTTACTTCTCTCCATGTAGACATAGTACCATTAAGGACTACTTGTTGAGTACAGTTTGTCAGCCAGTTAAAAATCCATCTGATGGTGATGCTGTCTATCCCACTTTTTTTTTTTTTTTGCTTTCTAAGAAGTAGGTTGTGGTCTACTTTGTTGAATGCCTTGCTGAAGTCTAAGTATTCTATGTCCACAGCATTTTGCTGGTCTACTAATTTAGTTACTTGGTCAAAGAATGGAATAAGATTGGTTTGGCATGATCTGTTTTTGACAAACCCGTGCTGGCTTCTAGTTCTAACTTTGTTTCTAGATGTTCACAGATTCGTTTTTTTGATTATCTTTTCCAGTATCTTCCCAGGTATTGATGTTAGGCTGATTGGTCTATAGTTTCCTGGGTCTGTTTTTTTCCTTGTTTGAAGATGGAAACCACACCTATAATGTCTTTATGCATGAAGACCAATGCAAACAATGAGTTAAGCAGCTCTGCTTTCTCTCTGCTGCCTGTTACTTCCTTGCAGTCTTCTCTCTTTAATGGACCAACTATTTCCTTGATTTTTTTTTCTTGTTTATATGTTTTTTTATCTTTGACTTTTATTGCAAGTCTTTGTTCATTCTGAGCCTTTGCTTTCCTGACTTCTTCTTTACAGATTCTGGCTATCTACTGATATTCTGCCTTAGTTATGTGTCCCTCTTTTCATTTTTTGTACTAGTCCTTTTTGTCTTTGAGTTTATCAGAGATATGTTTGCTGGTTTCTTGTTAGATTTCTTGTTTTTCTTTTTCAGTGGTATTGTGCTGGATTGGGCTTTTATGATCATATTTTTCAGAGTTTCCCAAGCTTCTTGAGTTGTTTTCCCCTTCAGGATTTCTATCCAAGGAATCTTTCCCAAGTTCTCTTGGATTTTGTTAAAATCAGCTCTGGTCTAAGAGTCTGGTATCATTATGTTCTATTGCTTGTGTTTGCATTATATTGAATTCCAGTATGACATGATCACTCTTACCCAAGGTTTTTGCAGTTTCAACCTCTATCACTTCTTCCCTGTTCATAAGAAGTAGGTCCAATATGGCTGTCCCTCTAGTTCCCTCCTCTAATTTTTGGACAACAAAGTTGTCGGGTAGGTTGGTCAGGAATTTATTCGATTTCTCACTTGGTGCAGAATGAGTCTTCCAGTTGATGTATGGGTAATTGAAGTGTTCCATTAATACTGGAATGTGTTTCCTACATTTATTTGTTAATTGGTTAGCAAAAAGTACATCTATAATAAAAATAAACCAAGGCAGCAAATATACCTAAAACTCCTTCCTTCTTCTTTTTTTTCCCATAACCACCTGGTGAAGTAAGTTGGGCTGAGAGAGAATGACTGGCCCAAAGTTACCCAGATGCTTTAACTCTTAATTCATGGTCTCTTGATTAAAAGAGACCTAGTGCCTTGATTACTACACCAAACTGACTCTCCAATTTGACTTCATTTAAATATTTTAAATAAACAAATGAATTAATACTAACCTCAGTAGGATCTG